GGGTTGCACTGGGTTGAGCTGGGCTGGCTGTGCACCAAAATGAAACAGTTCCCAGCCCCCCCCCAGACATTTGTCAGAACTTTTGCCCTACGAACTGTTTCCAGGAACGCCCCTACCAGCCCAGCGCCCTTTGTTCTTGCTGCTTTTGTGGAAATTACCACGTCTCCCGTAAATGTGAATTCCCTGTCCTGACCCGCGGAAACGCCCCCGTTTTTGCCAGCGCAGAAGCCAGACGTAGAGAGAAACCTGCACGGGCCCTGCACGTCACAGAAAGCACCGCTCGACATCAGCGCAGGCAACGCAACCTCCAAGAAATCCTGCGAGCAGGGAAGGGAGATGCATTTCTGGCATGACCCATCAGAGGGGGACGAGCGAGCCCAAGGGAGGATGCATCTGTAGGATGCGGAGTCACTTTCCTCCGCGCGTGGCGATGCACCGCTGACCTCAGAGCCCCGCGGTGCTGGAGCTGCCGGCAGGGACTGGCAGGGCCTTTCCCAGGCGGAGGGCTAATTCTGTGTCCTCTGGGCCGGATGCGGTATCTCGTCACCAGCACCCGTGAGGGAAGGGAAGAGCATTGTGTGGGCTGTTGCTTTTTTTAAAACCGTTTGTGACCCCGGGACCGGCATGCGAGCACGAGCCACTGCTGGAGGAAGGAGGGGAGAAGAGCGGGGGGCAGAAAATTCCCAGATCCCAACTCTCCCTAGGAAATCCCCAAGCAGCTCCCGGGTGCTTTCTTTCCCAGCACAGGAGATCCCACGCGCCGGGGCCAAGCAGCAGGTGGGTGCCCGAAGCGGGGGGCAGCGCACCCCGAGGGGGGCCGGGGCTGCGGCACTGCCTACCCCTGCCTCGCAAGACCCAGTGGTTTCGTGCCAGCAGCACAGGCTCAGCCCCGTGGGGCACATGCCTTGCCCCCGGGGGGACGGGGATCCCCCCAGTCTCCCTCAGCCCCCCAAGAGCAGCCCCTCAGCTGATTCACTGTTTATTCCTATTTGCTCGCATCCGGACGCTCACGTCAGGATCCCGCAGGCACCCGGGCGAGTCCCTGCTTGGCTCAGGGGCTGTGTCAGAGCTGCCGCCCGTGCCAGGGCCCAGTGGCACAGAGGCCGGGGCTTCCTGCCAGGGCCACGGTGCATGGGAGAAGGACCAAGGGACGGGCAATGGGCATGCCCGAGCGTGAGGAGCACAGGGCCAGCCGTGGCCCACGGCCACCCAGCCACTGCCTCCTCCGGGGAGCCGGCACTGGGGCGCACTCGCACCCCGGGAAGGGCCGGCGACAAATTCTCATGGAGGCTGAGATGCCTCTGCCGTGAGCTCACCGAGTGACTAACTTGTTTATCTCCCCTGGGAGCTGCACCGAGTTTTTGGGAAGCAGCAGATCCCCACCAGCTCCTCTGCCTGTTCCAGGCACCGCCCCCACCCTTTTCCTGAAAAGCCCTCTCCGACACCAGAAAGCTGCACTGACACGCCACCACGTCCCCTCGCTGCAAAGGCAATCACGGCAAGCGGCCACTCTGCCTCTTGCTGGACCAGTACACCCTGGCAGGGAAACTGGAAAGACTCAAAAGGCCTGAATTTTGGAAAACCAGGCATGGAAATTATGGCACAGCAGGGAAAAGCTCTCGGTGCTTCGCTGGGGTGGTTTGCCTATACAGGTACCAGGGAGGCACAACCGAGACCTCATCCTGCCCCATCTCCAGCACATGGGAGAGGGCAGCTGCCTGCCAGGGATGCGGCCCCCGTCCCAGGGTGACCTGGACGCGCAGCACTGCCCAGGATGCGTCCCACATGCTGGGTGGTGGCAGGGTTACCCCGCTTTGGGAGGTTCTGCCATCCCCACTGCCTGCCAGCACAGCTCACTGGGGACGTCCTGGAACAGCCTCCAGGCCAGCCAGCTACCTCAGCCCACGCACAGGGTGGAACAGGGCCAGGGGGGCTTCTCCTCAGCACCACAGAGGGGACACAGACAACTGCTGATGGGGCGAGCGGGGCCACCCCCTCCCCCGCGGCACCACCCCATTTACGCACACGACTGGGGGTAAAAGCGATCCACACCAACCCAGACCCCAGCGCTCCAGTGCCACCCTGTGCCACCTCCTCTCACCCCAGGCTGCCTGGCCCCCCCACGTCCCCAGCGCCACCTGCGTGCTCCCGCTGTCGGATCCGGCTCCCTCGGGATCTGAGCCCCCAGGCAGCTCGGTACCATCCTGCCCCGAGGGTGCTTCACGCTGGAGAAAAAAAATGGAAGCACCCGGGCTCAGAGCTGCTGCCCCAAGGAGCCCCGCGGTGTCCCCCCCACCCCGGGGCAAGGTGACCAGCAGGTCTGGCCAGCAG